AATCACGCACCAGACTCATCAAGACCACGAGTAGTACGGAGTACTACAGTATATTATGCCACATGAAGCAAGTCAGACTGTGCACTCACCAGATACGTGAAATGTGCATAATATATTGTCAGAATTATATGTTGCGCCGATACCCATGAATAATCAAAACATGCATTCGTTAAATGCGGCGCCTAGATTGACTTCTATTTCTATGGTAACGGCCCTCGGTAATTGTCGCCGCGTGCAAAATGCCACCAAAAGGGAAGCCTGCTGATGATGATAAAGCTAAATTAGAAGGTTTGTATGAGAGCAATTTCCTAGCTGCTGGCAATTAAGAACAGCGCCTAAAAGAAGAAAGGGCTAAACTTGAACAGAAGTTGGAACTTAAGAGGCAACAACATGAGGCGGAGATGAATGTGAGCTTCATCCATTGCTATCTAGCCACATATCTACACATGACGGAAATATTACTTTTTTGCAGTCATTTTTTCTCGCAAACTCTGAATAGCTTTGTTCATTAGGCTATTTGGGCAAGAATTCTAGCTTGGGAAATAGGTAATTAATTATAATGCGCTGTTTGATCAAACAGGGAGGTTTGCGTATGAATTCCTGAAGTTAGGTTGACCCAGAGCTGACTTTTGGGATACTAGGTAATGGAGTAACTGTACACGAGTATAAAAACACAAAAACCTACTGGGAACCGTGAGACTGCGTCATTTATAAACGATTCCTATCCCCAATGAGAAGGTTGTTTCGGTCGTGAGATAACTGTTGCGGGTGGCAAGTGTTCTTTAGACTTTTGAATGCCCATGCGAAATAGGATAGGCATGTTCTTACTAATACACTGGTAATGTACACGTTGGATTGTGCAAAAAACCCTGAGTTCTTTGGTTTCGGAAAGATTGGCCATCAATCCAGTATTTATCATTAGGTTGTAGCAGTTGAGACCCCATTATTTTGCCCTAGCCCTGTACTTCATTTCGTCTTTTTACTAGCATAAATTCTAAGTCCTCACTCCCGTTAATTATTTTTCTGCTAAAATCAGAAATAATATTTCAGGCCATTGGTCGTCGTAGTTACAACACAAGCGAGCTTGTGAGTAAACTTTAAATAGTCAACAGTACTGATTCCTAAGCAAGTTAATCTCTGAGGGCTGTACGTAGTCAAGCCTTTGGACAGGGTAAGACCTGCATGCTCATGAGCTCATGCTCAATGCATTGATCAAGTCAAATTTTTAAATGGATCTCTTAAAACGTATAATTGTAGCAATCAAATGGGGTGCAACAAATTATGAACAGAGGAGCCCTTCTCTACAGGAACCTTAAAGTTAACACACTTGATCCTACATCCAATTTGTCTTTGAGGAGAACTTAGCGCTATTTCTCAAGTACTCCTTCTATTATTTAAGCATTTCAATAAGAAATGCAATAGCAGTCATTTACTGCTCCCATAGTTTAGCCCTAGTACTTGAGTGCATCAGCCGTCAATATCTGCATGGACTCTTAATCCTCATGGACTATGTTGGCATTTTAATTTGTATCAAATATAAACGATCTTTTACTATTTTTCTTGGCTTTTCGAAAAGCCAAGAAAAATTGCGAAAAATGTTGAAAAACAATAGAAAAGGCAGACGAGGCAAAATACAAATTAAAAATTAAGCAGTATATTATAAGTCACTAGCAGATGCACTTTTATGCGCGATCGGACAGTGTTTAAAGCAGGTGGACTGCATGTGACCTATTATTACTAACGGAACGCCAACCTTAACTTGTTCGCCAAAACACGATAAAGGACATAAAATAAAAGAATAAAATAAGTGGCATCATCAGTTTTTGTTTGTTTACTGTCGGTTCAGAACCCATCCTTCAGCCTTAGACTTGAAAGACTCGATATTTAAATTTCATTTACCATTCTTCAGCCTATTAACAAAACATATTTTACCTACAAAAAACGGCAGACTAAAACGTTAATTCTTAGCTAACATTTCGCTGTTTATTTGCGCAAGAAAGCAGAATCCAATCGATGTGTTTAGTATGATGCTGTTATTTTTCAGCTTCAACTAATTTTAGGCACCGATAACTAATATTTGCAATATTTAAATCTCCGAGTCTTTGGTTATTCTAAAAAGTCTGATTTTCAAACAGGAGCTCAGACATAGAAAAGAAGAGTTAGATGAAACCCGTGAGATTCTGCAAAAGCATCAAAAACTGTTGGAAAAAATCCAAAGAGAACGGACAAGCGAATATACGGTAGGCAGAGTTCTACCTGCTATATGTATTGTGGATAGTGGCACCGGTATCTCCTCTGTGACGGCTTGCCAAATCCTATAATCGACACGGAAATCAACACCTATATGAGCCTTTGGCGAATGAATGAAACCAGAATTTCGATGGAGGAGGTTATGTTGGATAGCATTGACGCCATGAAAGTAAGATCCCATTGTTATTGCATAGCGTTTGCAGCTAATAGACGAGTTGCAGACGCTAATTGCCGATCTTGATGACGGATACAAAGATCGCCAAAGATACCGAGATGTAGATTTTTAGTATCCTAAATTATTGTAGGTCTTTAGATCATGCAGGAACTAAGGGAACTTGTGCAGGAGAAAGTGGATCGAGCTTGCGTCGAAACGCTTTCTAAGGCAGTTCATCTGGCCGACAAGGAAACCGCAAACTTACAACGTACCTGGGGCAATAATTGGCTGTCCCTTTGCATGTGGGGAAATCTGTCGAAAAATCCAAGGTAATTGCCTGGCGATGCTCTAGAACGTTGTTTTGTAGAATAAAACGTTACAGTTTTGACAAAGCTGGAATATCCTTTGATATTCCAAAGTTTCTTACCCTTTCGGAGTGCGCCTTTCGAATCGTCTTCATGAAGTTTGATACCTACTCAGTTACTTCACCCTCGGCCGTACCAAAATCTGTCCCTCGAAAGCGTGAGTATTTTCTACTTGTTTTCAAACTAAATTATTTAGCTCCCTCTCCAACGCCAGAAGAAACCACTCCAAAGAAACCCAGAAAGACAAAAAGCGGTGATTTGCCTGCCAAAGCGGAGGAAAAACCCACACCAGTGGTAACTTATTTCCTCTTAATTTATTGCCCATTTAACCTCAGTAAACAGGGGTTCTTTACGAAAGACTTTTGTGTCTTAAGTATAGTACTTGCTTTGCTGAAGTTTTCTGCCCAGAAGAATGTTAATATCCTTCTGTATATCGAAAATGTCAGGGAATGGTCACGGTGTTCAGCCCCACAGTATGGTGGTCCGATTACACTATTAAGTAAACTGTGGTGGGTTATAATTCATCAAATATTTTGAGTTTATCAATAGTTGAAACATGGGGGGAAAATATAGGTTAGATAGGATCGTCCTGCTGATGAGAATGTGGGAGTACATTTTGGGCACAATGAGTATGCTACGGGTCGCAATAGGAGGGGACCGTTGAGGTCTCGAAATCATCACCGAAGTGTCGGAGATGTATAGGTCTTCAAGGAACTAAAGGTTGCTCTTTATCAACCATGCCAGCTACTCTCGTACAATACGGCTGGTCCTTCGCTGTCTTCCCAATTCCTTTAGCACGATGTACAGTACTTTGTGATTGAACTGTAGGCCCATGCAAGTCTAGGAAGTCAAATATTGGCAGGTTGTATTACCTTCATGGCGAGGTTGCCGGGGTACAGATGGTGCATTCACCAAATAGCTATCTGAGGCCATTTCCCGAGCGGCTTATTTAAGCGATAAAATAAATTGGAATTTGAAGTATTTGTTCCCCCGTACAAATTTGAAAAGGCATACACAGCAGGATTTATTGACGTCAATAGATTAAGTGACAGCTTCTTAACTGCATCCTGTCGGTGCATGAGTTTACTAACCAATAGAACATACGCCTGTTTAAAATATTGAAATTTGTAAGAACATTGAATATCTGCAGCAAAAAATGCACGCTACTTAAGTTGTTATTTTTTGTATCAATTACGTTACCTCTGCAGGTGGAAAGTAAGTTAGTTCAAAAGCCGGCGTCCCGCTGTGTCTGAAATATCTTAGGAGTATGTACCCCATGTTAATCCATACTAAAATTCCGCTTAGTTAATAATTACTAATCTAGAACGCATTTCAAAATTATCGCTAACATTGCATGAGATCAGCCACTGACTGTATATAAAATGACAGTGGGGGATCGCCTTTCATGCCTGTGGAGTCAGTATGAGGTGGTCTGTCGACAGAAGCGAATATGCGAGTTCCGGGAAGCAGTTCAGGAGTAGAAGATGCAATTGCTGGAAGAAGGAGGTTTATTTGCCTGACATTACGGATCCTGTCAAGAACCCTTCAAAAGAGGTAGCCATAGAATAGGGTGATACATGCACAGATAGGGATGATATATACCCAGATTACGCAGTGGCCACTTGACCGCATGTGCATTTTAATTATCGGCTAACGTAACCACCGCTGGGGGTCATAATTGGTACGGTGATGGCTTGGCAGTCCGCTTCCGAGTCATTAATTGCCGCAATTTCGTCATCCGTGTTGGATGCGGATTTGATAAC